TTTCTTTTTCAAAAACAGGCTGGCATTCACGAGCTGGTACGAAACAAGAAGTCGGAGGCGGATGGCGGCCCCGAAATAAACGAGTTGCAGCGGCACTTCTCAGGGGGCACTACGGGTGTGATCATCAACGGCCGAGAACTCGCGCCCCGCGATCTGACGGTGCTCAAGAGCCGTGGCGTGTCAGATGAGCCGCGTGCCTATTGGCTGGACATAACTGGACAGCTGACAGACGCGGTGACCAATCAGGTGAGGTTGTTTGACGAACGTGCCTGACAGCTGTTGAGATCTTGTTTCGATCTTGAACGAGTGGCATGGAACCACTGTCTCTCCCTCTGTATTTGGCATGGGGTAATGAGACGGAGGCTTATTGAAACCCGACGAGTTGATAGAGTCTTCTTTTCCATTCCTGCGATGAAATGTCGATCAAAGCGCTTTCATCGCAAGGAAACATTGCTTTGCCCATGTGCAGAGGGGTCTCAGAACAGTTCGAGCTTGCTTGTCGCTCCCTAGATGAACCCTGCCAAGGATATGGCATTGACGGAAGAGACGCTTCGAAGTTAACGAGCAGCCCTGTTGGCAGTCTGCATTGTTTTGAGCATACGCGGCCTTGTATAGGTTATTCCTGGAGTGATCTGCTTTTCTCGAAGTTGACGCTTCTTTCAAAGCTGTCATGCTTTCCGCATCTATCAACGCCCTCGTGTAAGGAATCTGGCTGGCACTATATTCTCGTTCTGAATCTCTTGCGCATTAAGGCGTACCTTTTCAGTGTAGATCATTATCAGAACACAGTTGGAACTACTTGGGCTGAAACCCTTCTGATTTATCCCGGGAGCCCCTCAATCAGCAGGCCAAGCTTGCGTCAGATACTCGTGCTTCAAAAACTGATCAGGCACCTAAGAGGTCTTTGCTTCTTGTATCTGCAGCCGAAGTATTTATACTACTCTCGGAGAGACTCTTTGTTGAACTCGGTATTGTTATTGAGGTAATGACCCTCCGGTCGGTTTCTGGGGTATTGACAAGTGGATGTTTGGCCGCAAGTGGATCTTTGGCCGCAGCAAACATGCGTTAGGCTTGGAAAACAACCTGACTCGTTCGCTGAGAGCTTTGCCGCTTCGGGGGTACTGGACCATCTTTCCTAAAGGGGCGTTTCGCGTTTCTGATTCCAATCGCATCATGCAGCTGGGCCAGATTGGTCAAGGCTCATCTTGAATTTTGAGCTCTATCTTTCCTTGGGGTAGCATCATGAGTGACGCACCAGTCACGGCCTCTGACACGGCCCCTGTCTGCCTACAGCCCATCATGCAGCTGGGCCACCTCGCGCCCAGCTTGGCGCAGGGCCAACCGGGGCTCGGCATGCGCATCCCAGACGAAGAGCTTCGGCGCCGCAAGCTCGAGGAGGTGCGCAAAGCCATGCAGGAGGCGGAGAAGCGGAAGCCTATCGTGGCCAGGGTCAGCTAGGGCTGGGGCAAGTGTCGGGCTTGAGCATGGATGCATATCTGGAAATGGCTATTTGTATGTCCGTTTCTTTCGGGTTGTGGGCCGGAAACACAAGTGAGGGAGGTGCATCTCGCTATTAGAAGTCTGGCACTGATACTGCTCGTACGAGGCTGGGTTTCTGAAAAGTCTTCAGGCACCGTCGAACATGTAATACCACAGATCAGACGGGTCCTCCCCAGTCTCACGCACACGACTCTGTGTTAGCTTGCACGCTATTCTTGGTCTTTATCGTCGATCGGACGGACATCTACTGTAAAATCCACGCAGGAATAGGCAGCTATACGTTGAAATGCAAAAAGATTGGACTCCTCGAGCCTGCAACATGGTATACCCGGACCATGCGACTTAGAAGCATTTGCGATATGAAGTTTAGATGACCGTGATGCGCACGGGCTTTGTTTAGATGAGATGGTCTCAGTTCGTAGAAGAGCTTGTATTTTGTTCTTAAGAGTGCCTGAATGATCCAAGAATTGCAAGTACCGTACAATTCTTGGCATGCCAATGGGCTCTTCAGAATACAAGCTGCATTGATCATGCAGAGTGCATGGAGAAGTCTGACCGTTGACAAACGCATAAAGAAGGCACACAAAAGAGCGTTTCAACCTGGCGCCGGGTGCATCCGCACCCAATCAAGTCTTCATTTCTTAAATATCAGGTCAAGCGCGCACCGGCCCACGGATCATGCTTGTGAACTCCACGTCCTGGCAGCCGGCCGGCGCCCATCTGCCATAGGGAGTTTTCGAGTTTAGATACTATGAGCGATCGGTTGCATAATATGATAGAGCATACACCGTCATGTGGGTCTATAACATACAGGCAACATCCCAATGGATGCATCACCTCACAACGGGCGGGTGCTCTGAATGGCCAGTTGATGATAAGTTCGCTTCCTTGCGACTCTCAATATCGAATTATTATTGACTTCATCAATCCTTTGACATTTCATAGCAGTTGCCATTGATGGATCGAATGCCCGCGGACAATCCCCGCATATGAGTGACTCGCGAGCGGGCGGCCGCGGACGGCCGCGCATAGGTTGCCAGTGACGGCGGCCGGCCGCGATACACATGTTTTCAATCATTGAGAATGAGCCGAGCGATCGGTTGCCGAGCCGGACGGCATGCCGCGGGCCAAGTATAATCAAATCTGAACCGTCGATAGTTCGTCGAGACGGGTTAAGTGCGTAGGATCAAAGTGCGGCACCAAGCGGGACGTGACGGTTTCAGCCGGCTTGGAAGATTCCTCGGAGGATATTTGCACCATGCATCTATGGTAACGCATAAGCCACTACCGTACTGCCATTCCCATTCGCACCAAGCTGGTGCGAATATTTATTTTCGAAAGTTTTTGGTTTTCGCACCGGCTTCGACGAATTTTCGAAATTTTCGCAAAAGAACGTTTTCCCGATTTTTACCACTCAAAACGGCCAGGAAATTGGATTTTGCAATTGTTTTCTTATTTCGCATTTTCGCACCTCGGTCGAAAGTTAGTTTATTTCTTTTCGCAGTGGGCTCAAAATAATTATTTTAGTGCGAATGGGAATGGCAGTACGGTATGTCGAATCAAGCAGATCCTGACCACCGGAGTTGATGGAGGACGAGTTTGCAACGGACGATGAAAAAGCAAGAAAAGCAGTGTCAAAAGCCTTACTCACTATGGATGTGGAAACCTACGCAGATCTCAACCGTTGGGTGCAAGAAGGTGCATCTTCAGCCGTCAAATATAATGTGCTCAAATGATTGCATGAGAACATCATCAGCGTCTATGCCACGTGGAAGTGTCCGGTTGCCAATTGGCTATGGGCTTTGTCGTTTTCCGACGCATTTCCGTGAGACAGCATCCCAAACAGCAGTCTTGAGTATGCGACTCGGATGCTATCTTGGAAACGCGTTTCCATGAGAGCACTGTGCAGACCATTCCTGGGAGCATGGGGGTAGCTACAGTAGCTTGAGAAGGCTGCAGGCGCCAAGCTGCACATGGAAAGTGCCGTATCAAGCAAGGCCTATAAATGGGCGAGCATCCTTTCATTTCCAAACATTCCACAGTACCACATTCACCCGATTTTCTCCTTGCCTCTTCGCTCTGATTCCAGCAGCACAACCCTGCCACCACCAAATCTCTGAGCGTTGCCAGTTTAGCGCTTCCAAGCAGCAGCAAGCAGCGCCTCGTCCTGTCGCAAGTGTTCTGCCAGCGCGCAGGATCGCCGAAAAGCACCATGGCCGCAGCAGCTGGTGGCCCCACCCCTCTCGATGCGCCGCCTGCGCATGCTACAAAAGAGGATGTTGTGAAGATGAACAACTGCCTCCCACCAGTAAGTACTACTGGCTGAATTCATCTTGGACCTGATTTATCATCTTATTGTTCTGGAGTAAGCTCCTTACTGAATCAGTAGGTGCTCCTCAGTCCTCTGGAGACAGTGCAAGCTGCATGATGGCTACCCGAATCTCATTTGAGCTGTAAGTCAGTCACTTTCTCAGATAAAAACTTGCTTGTTTTTGGGTCAGTGATCTGCAAGGCTTTGGTAAGAATCCATTGCAGTGAGGAAAGAAGCTCCCGTGCTAGGAGTCAATGTGCACTTGAGTGAGAGTAGTGAGCTTTTTGTACCGTTCTCCAAAAAGGAAGACACCCCAAAAGACATTTGCGCATGGCGTCAAAGGTACAAAGCCAATCACAGAGGCTTTACTTGTCTCTTGAGAATGCTTGAAGAAGTTGATGTGATGAGTGGGCCAGTTCAATACTCCAGCCTGGTAATCAATAAGCCTTCAGGGAATATCATTCAAAAGGACTGTAGATGCTGACATTTCGTTCTATGAGCTGCTTCAGAGAAAACCAGATTCTTTGCAGAAGAACCGGTGTTGCTGGCCCTGTCCACAGTCATGTACATCTTTGAGTTATTCTTTTTCAAGATGGATGTTTCCAAAACATGCCAATGAAAGGTCCACGCAGGCACACAGTAGATGTAATCTTGTTGTATATTGTCAGGAAGCTGGTGGGCTGTCTGGTGCTGAATGTCCTGTGAGTTCTTTGACTTAGTCATCTATCTCAAGAGTTATGGTTCTCTCTCAACGCTAAGCAGCAGCGACCTTTGAAAAGCCGTTGCGAGAAGAAGACTGACATCTAAGATTTTTGTGTCGTCAGGTTGAAAGACTCTGCGAGCCCGAGTTAGCTCTGCTGTCCAGGGGCAACGTCCAGGTTCGCTACAAGGTCATCTCGAAGTTGGTCCAAAACAATTCCCTCATCGAGCAGCTACGGACTGAGAACGACGAGCTGAACAAGGGGATCAAGCGCGTCCGCGATGAGAAGGAAGCCATCGCTGCTGAGAAGGACGCACTGGTCACAACCGCAAGGGAGGAGAAGCGCCTGATGAAGGAGGAGTTTGACACGAGGAGGAAGGCTGAGAACCAGCTTCACCGGGAAGCGGGAAAGAAAGACGGCATGGAGGCAGCCAACCTCGAGAAGAAGGAGGCCGAGGACCGGCTGTTGCAGATGATGGCTCATAACACGCACCAGCAGCAAATCCAATTTGCTGGCAGATTTGGCAATCTCCAGTGGTCGAACAATCAGGTACAGGGTAAGAGGAAAAGCAACTGCTGCCATACGTTGGTATGCTGAATGCCATGCATGTGTCGGCGCTATTGTTCCTCACTTCGATGCACTTGCAGACTGAATCGAAAATGCTTGTGGCTTTTAAGACTTGCTCAACGTCGATACGGGTCGGTCATCATGATTAAAACCTAGAAAACACTTACGTAGATAAAAGCCGTTTATTGAGGCGGCGGTCCAAGTTACTGCTGACCAAGGTCCCAAAGCCCAGCCAAAAACGCTTTGCAATTATTCATGGAGGTCCGGAATCGTGGAAAAATGGTTTGTCTTTCGGAAGGCCATTCCGGGTCCACAAAACGGTGTTTACAAGGTACTCACGTCTGCAGGTCCTGCGGGACTCGGGCCGCCTCACGGAATTGACGCCGGAGCATTTGCCGCTTCGCCCTCCAGCTTCTTCGAACATCCTCTCTCCCGTCGTCTCGGATCGGGAGGCCTCTTCACCTCGCAGCCCGGATCATCCGAACGATCAGCTCAAGATGGCCAGGCAGGTTCCCCGGCAGCCCACTCCCCTCTTGGCACCGACGATGACACTCCGCAGCAAGAGCCAGACAGCTATGCTGCCGGCGGTCCCCAGCTCGGAGGCCACGTCCGGCTCTAGCGCGCCAGATTCGCCTGAGGCAGCGCCACGTGTCGAGCTCCCCAGGCTCGCGTCTGGCGCGCCTCGACGCAAGGGGAGGCTGCCGGCAATGAAGAAGACTAACGTTCACGCAGATTGTAAGAGGATTACTCGCAGCACTGCAGCGATGGCTTGCGTGAAGGCGAACCCTGTTGCCGACGCAAGTCTTGCCCGGGCTCTGCAGAAGGAGTGGAATGGGTACCGTCTGAGGCGCCGCGAGCGCCGTCTGTGATCAGCGTAGGTGTCTTCGTGAGGTGTAAATATAGACGCTTGGAGGCCAGGGACATGTGTACCGTTGCATACAGATTGGTACGTGACTGGTCTATACACTGATAGTGCGTCGGAAGGACGTATGTAAATCTCATGTAGAATATGTCGGCGAAACCTGAGCTGAGTGGTCGGACGGTAAGACGGTGATGAGTCTGTTGAGTTGCCAGTTCTTGATGGCTCTCAAGAAGTATCTGTTAGTGTAGTTTGTCATTCGTTTGGTAGCCCTTGTAAAACGTACGTTGTGTAGCGGTTCAGTACGGCGAACTTCAGCCCCGAATACATCTCTGTAGCAATTCAGCCACATGATGGTTGGGTTCAGTATATGCTGGAACATCGTGCTTTTGTTCATCGGAATCTAATTGGCTGCCTCAGGCTTTTCGCGGGGCATGCTACTTAATCAGACCCGGGACACTGCATGCATGCATCGTGCAACTAAGTTACGGTCTGATTGATTGTTGCATGCGCCGCAACACAACTCGAGAAAGTTTCATAAAGGCGCTTTGTGACGCAACGCTTCTATGATGTTGAAAAAACATATAATGTCTGTTATAGAAGCGTGCGTTGACCGTCCGAATATGGTACAGGGTTTTCCAGTCAGTAGTGTATATACGTTAATTAAAAGCTCACGTGTACAATCAAGCCGTTCAACGGATGGCATGGGCTGCCATCGTACATGATATATTCTCTACCAAGGTGCATGTACGATACAGACTCACTGCATTGATGGGTGATCGCGTGATCGCATCAACGTGATGTATTTCAAAGGCCCGCGGCGACCCTTTTGTACGCCCCGCGGTGGGCATGAGCAGTTCTTGAGACCGGGCGGTGACTCGAGTTCTGACAAGCTCTGTCGAATCACACGGTGTGCTAGTCAAATGCCTGGTGCCTACTGGTACCGCAAATCAGGAGCTTCACTTAACAGGTCCGGCGGCGCGCACGGCACTTACTTCCGGGTCACTTCTGAAGTTGAGCGGTATCTTCATACGAAAACCTTCAAACTTATATCTACTCCGGTTAATACGCATTATTTTCTCGCTGTACATGGTTCTGTTGTATGTACAGAAAGTTACGTAGGTTACAAGATTGTTGTATTGGCACAAAATTAGTCGGCACCCCTCCTAACTAAGATAACATCAGCGACCTGTACAATCTATTGTCGGTACCCCTCCTAAATAAGATACATCAGCCAGTTGTACAGTGTACAATTCAGTCGGTACCCCTCCTAAATAAGATGACATCAGCGACCTAAGCACACGGGTTACAGACGAGTATGGCCGAGTCGGACTGGGAAGGAAGAGAGCCCTGAGCGTGACCCTGCTGTGGAGTAACGCCGAGCACACCCGACTGGTCCTGAGGGGTGCAATCAAAAGGGGACCCTGGTTGGCTCGCCGACGCTAATGCAGGCGTGCAGGCGGGGGGCTGAAAGAGGAGGACGACGAGCTGTATGCTTGAAGAGGTGACGTAGGGCTGCCCTGAGCGAACGCCAAGGTTCCCCCCGCATCTGCAAATGCGAGGGGAGTGAGATCGTACTGTGATGTCATGATCAGATTTACGTCTCTGAACGAGGCGTAGGCGACACGGCAGACTCGTGCTGCATGCTCTTTAATCAGAATCTGGTGCAGCTTTCGAGGTTGGTAAAGTAAGGTCCCCCTTTCTAAAGCGAAGACCTTCCAGGGAATCGAACCCTGTTGACGAGGAGCATATGTAAAGCGGGTACCAAGACCACAGAATGAAACTGTGCAAAAGCCAGAATGACGTCAGCAGCGCGGATCGATTTGCGACTTCAGACAAAGATTGCTTAATCAACGGATACACACAGTCATTGGTTCCTACCCCACCAGCCATGTAACTGAAGACCGTGAAGGGCGTGACAGAGCATACCAGTCGGTTCCGTAAGGTCAGGGGAGTCGTTCCAACGAAGGACGTCGTCTGGCATGCCACCTTTCTCGCTAGACAGGTCAGCACAGCCCAAGTCCATCGAGTCGAGGTAAGCTGCAAAAGCAGACACCTCTTTCAGCCCCGCGTGGGCAAGTCCAGGGGACAGTGAAGATGCAAGCGGGTTTAGATTCAGCTTACAAACAGAGCAACAACTCAGAATTCAAAGCGAGAAAAGAATACTTGTGACGAGAAAGACAAAGGCCGAGGACGCTCAAAGGCTTCAGTAGCGGATGACAGGCGGCTCGCTACCTGATTCAACTGGGCGAGCAATATCTACTTACGGGCGGCTTGGGGAAGGCCCTCCAGATCTTCGAAGAACTGATCTTCGTCCGGCAAGAATTCATTCGGAGTGCTACGCAGGCCCCATGAGCTGGATATAGGTTCCGGGTCGGGCAAGGCCGGCGCACCATCAACACCTGTGATAAATCGAATTCGGTGTCACAGAGAACTTCAAAGTTTGCTTTCAAGGGGTCAGGCTGCTACGGCTGCGGGCGACGGCACCGACAACCTTTGAAAACGCCAGTGGCTGCTACCCAGCGTGCACGACCCAGTTCTATCGAAAGCGCAAACGAACACGTTCCAACGTTCTGGCAAAGAATCCGCTCACATGCGCTGTCGATGCTCATGCGCTCCACAGAAGCGCCGCCCCCGCGTCTATGTGCGGGTGGTACCTCGAACCGGTGCGGCGCTGCCTGTGGTTGCCGTGGCGTCTCCTGCTGTTGTTGGGGCAACCCTGCGCAGTAGAATAGGCAAAGGCGCTCTAGACTTACCGGCTCTAATGCTCCTGCTACTGCCACTTACGAAAAGGAGAGCATAATTAGAAAGAAGCATGCCCACACGGTAGGGTACAGGATAAACCAGAATTGCTTGACCCCCGAAACCGGGTGTCAGAGCACGTAGCATAGTAGTCTCAAACCCGCGAACGAGCTCAAGCGTGCAATAAACTTCTCGAAGATGTATCAGGTGCATCGAAGTGGCCCTTCAACGCAAAAGCGCGGTTTTCAGGCGACTTCAGGATAGGAGTGCTCTTCTTTCATGACGTAACCCAACCTGCTCAGTCGGAAACTGCTTTCCGTTTTGAGCAGATAGAGCCGCGCAAACAAAAAGTTGTCCCGGGCAAGCATTCCTCAAGGATCGTCGGAATGGCAAGACGCAATACCTGCAGCCTGGTCTTCCATGAAACGGGCCTGGACGCAATGCGTCCTCAGATCGGAAGCTGTCCTTCCCTTCCTCTGTTTGGCAGGGGCGCTTGGAACAGGTGCTTGCACGGTCGAGAAACGTCTTTTCTGACCCTTTCCACCTGGATCACCAAGGACGGGGAAAATCTATTTTCACGACAAGAAGCTTCCAAAGACAGACAGCAGTTCTACAATTCGTCTGACTACGTCAAGGGGACAGGAACAGCGAGCTCGACGAGAACTGCCAAGAGATAGAAAATTGACAGTGGTGGTGGCTTCAGGACTTTGAGAAGCAGGCAGAAATTTGCGGAGATGCAATTGCGACAGCAACCTTCCGAGCCATTCTTGGTGACCAGTACCTTGCATCTCGACAGGTGCACTTTCTCAAAAGGGGCAAGCTACTCGGAAAGTGCTTACTGACGCCCTGATGAACAAAGGAGATACAGCTAGAAGTCGTTGTAGGAACAAAATAAGAGGAGACAAAGCCGTCAATCTGCCACTAAGGTGGCACCGGAACGCCTTGTCTCTGCTAGCTTGCACGACAGAACGGGCTTCGCTGACTCCTGGACCGGGAACCCACGAGAAGCGACCTGGAACAAGTTGCCCTTCGAGACTTGCTTATCGAACATGTGCGCGCGGATTTGTGCCGCAGAATCCTTACCTCTGGTATAGTGTGAGCCCAATACCAGCACGCGCTGGCTCACCATCGTGCCAGCACTGGTAGGGGTGCTCTTCTTGCGAAACCTCGCTTTCCTCCAGGGCCCGAGTCTCAACCGGTAGCTCCGTAACCCTGCAGACAAAAGGAGTCAAGTAGGACACAATTGAGACCTGGGTTTTCATGATGTATGGGGTTAAAGTTGAGGATCGGTATACTAGACAAGCTCCAGGTCTGCAAAAGGATCAAGGACTACTTTTCCTGATCTTGAAAAGAACGTAGGCCGGCTTCGTCTGTGTTGTCATCGAATCCATTCTTGGAAAGGTTCATCAGCGAGAACACCTTCTGAAGGAGGCACGTGGAGCTTTTCGTTACAACTCAAACGCGGATATCATAGGAACAATCTTGAACGCATTGTACCAAACACAAGGAAGCAAAAACTCTGCTTCTCTGCAGCTGTGACCATCAGAAACCCGCAAAAAGAAACCGTTTCTTCACTCATCCTACGTGGCACAGTATGTGAGTGGGAAATCTTACAGTTTGGGGGCTTTTGTCGCCCAGAAAGGAAACTGGTCATCCACTCCACGCTCACTCCGAGGTGGGAGCAGCTTCGGACGTACTGTTCGGTGGTTTGCTCGTCCGAAACCGGGGCGTGGCGCTCCAACGGACCAGCAGACGTTCCGCCAGCCTGGCTCCCGCTTGTCGAACCGCCGATACTGTGATCGATGCTGAGAAACGGGCTTTCCGGCGCAATTCCGCCTGCAACAAGATCAGACTTGCTTCCCTCGAGTCGAGTTGTAAACAGTGGTGCTTGCGTATTATTTGACTGACTCGAAGAACTTCCGTACCCAACGTCTCCAGCCGGACTCGTACAGCTGAGCCCCTACCTCCTCTTCTAGTCACTGAAGGTTTTCAGCACTTAGGAGGCTGGCGAAATGAAAGACGAAGAGCTTAAAAGGGACTGATTTCCTTCCCTCCGCAATCTCAATCGTTTGACGTCTCGATTATGCAGAAATGATCATTCGAAAGCTTAGTCATGCTCCAGCACGACCATAAACAAGGCTGACGCAGAGCAACATGGTCAAGCACGAACACTCTAAGCAGAGCAGGAACACGGTTCAAGGTCCAGTTTCTTACGCTGGCGAATCCAATCTCCTTCAAAGCTGTATGCCTCGGGGGGCGCAGTTCCGGCCTCTTTCTCCGCGAGAGCGAGGATCCGGCGGATCAGCTCCTCAAGAAGCGGCAGCGTGTGGTTCGCCAACTGCCGATCCTCGGCCCTTGGGACCTCCGTCGGCAAGACTTTCCACGGGCCCCGGTCTTTGACACCGTAAAGAAGCAGGACAGCGAAGCGGTGTTGCTCCTCGAGCTTATTGTGTAGCTCAAAGCATGCACGCTTGCTCAGCGACTCGGGATCCGTGAAACAGAGGGGCACCAGCCAACCCTCCGGAGGTCCGCTCTCCTCGGCAGGAACGCAGGGAAAGCACAACAGCTGCTCGCTCTCAACCAGCCAAGTGACCTGCACGAGACGACGTATGTCCAGACTCAACAAGGAAAAGCTGAAGATCGAAAGCACATAGGAGCATGGGAAGGAGTGAATCACGAAATGGATAGGATACATTATGACATAATCTGTGATGAAAGCCCTTATCTTTCATCATAGATCAAAGATACTGAATCGATAGAGGATCTCCAGCCAAGTAGCGCTTCATCAAAGTCGACGATTAGAGGGATCAGCCACGACGCCGATGGAAGAGGTAAAGTTCAGGGGATTCGAGTTGATGGGCCTGCTTTGCCGCACAACCTAGATCAAGCTGACAGTCTTTCATAGCGAAGCTTACCAGCTTCTTTACACAATTGGTGTCGAGAGGGCTTGCGTTGGGGACGAAGCAGATAGCTTCCCAAGCAGTGCTCGAAGATATCGTCGCCCTGCAGGTTTAAGAATGGAAATTTAAGGCGCTTTTGGATGCGACAATTTCGACGAGTTCGAAGTTGCTGTTCGTTTGCACGTCTCAAGGTTGTGGTTGCTATCAATCATCGCTTCCAGGAACAAAAACTCAGACACGTTGAGTAACATAACCAATTCCCTTGCACCAACTCGATCCTGCTTTTTTGAATGCTTTTGCGCTTTTTTGAGGCTTACAGACTTCAGGCTTTGACTATCCGCAGTTGTTTTACTTTTCATGAAAATAAACTGATGTACAAGCTATCAGCAGATGCTGAGCTGATCATGAGGCTTTGCAGTCTTCAATTTTTTACCCACCATTCGGCGGAGGCACAACAGACTCACCAGATCTCGTCAAGAGTCTTTTCCGTTTGGGCCCCCAGACTGTGGTGCCGAGGAGTGACTTCCGTCCGCAGTCTGGGGTCCAAGAAGCCATAGAGGGGCACGGCCGGCGAGCTCCCCTCAGAACGCAGAGAGAAAGTATGACTCTCCCTGCAAGAGAAAGCCCCCCACCTCTAGTCAACCTAAGAAAAACGTGAAACGCTAATCTCGACAAACAGGGTGATCTCAAGACACGGAGTAAACGAACGACAGGGCGACGCAAGCAATAACAAACGCGTTTTCGGATGAAATCCTCGACGGAGACTGAAGCTCGCCACCATTTGCTTTGATCAAGATTGGGCACCTTTGATCAGAAGGAAAGGCGAGTTTCTTGAGCTGTTCAGTAATATCGTCGAGCTGCTTCTGGTCGGACTGGTCGCTCTGAGTGGACTCGTCTGACGACTCGGCCTCGTCGGATGAGGAGTTTTCGGAGTCGTTGGCCCCGACATCTGGGTTATCGGGAGGCGCAAGGTCGTCACGTTCCGACTTCCGGCCATGGAGGCTGCGCAGAGCCCTGCACACAAGCCTCCGTTCTCAGGCAGCTCCCCGCCATGCACAAATAGCAAAGACGAACACGAGAAACTGAAATGATGAATGATCGGCCATCAGAGCAAAAGAGAGAAAGAACTATATCTGGAATTGTAACATTCTCATGGTCGGCTCACAAAGGGCATTCTGTTTACTGCAGACTGCCGCTCTTTTAGAACTTTCGCTGCTTTAAGTTTACCTGTACATAGGACGAACATCCTCGCAGAACTTCCGGAACCTCTGATTGTACACCTTGATGTCAGTGCTGTGCACGTTGAGCCCGGCCTCCCCCTTCAACATGCAGGTCATAGCAGCCTCCACAACGTGCATGATTCGAGACTGAGCTGCCAACTCTACAAGTTGCAGAACTTGGATTGGCGCCCCAAACGTCTTCTCTGTAAAATAAAGTGGGAAAAGGCGCCGTTTTTGGGATGTGATTACCAACGTATGTGTGACACGTCATGATTCAAAATGCCGCTAGCTAATGTGAAGACTCTGGAGACAGCCAGTATGTTGAACCGAGCTTGCAACCAGAACAGAGTAACATTTGGCTAACAAAACCTTAAAGAACGTGTTTGATTTCTGTCGGTAATCACCAACACCAATTCCACGGAAGGAGTCTCGTATCCAAGCACGATGCAAAGATGCTGGGAAAGCTTCACAGAGGAGTTGCACCTTACCATGAAAGAGCACCTTCTCTGTGAGGTCACAGACTTGAGCTTCCATTTCCACGCGCAAGTCCTTGGCCTCGTAAGAGTCCACCGGAAGGCCATCTCGCAGCAGAAAATCCGCCCGGAGCACCTCCCCATGCTGCCGAAAAGCTTCCCTGCTTGACCCACGCGGTCTGTTAAGCAACACTTCCCCGAAAAAGTGTTTTCTGATCATGTGTCGGGAACCTCAGATATCAATCGGTCAATTCCCCAATGAAGCAAACTGCAGATTCTTCGCGATTAGCAGACTGACAGAACTTTCGCTTCTTTTTTCAACACAACAATTGGTTTGGCATGAACCGCAACAACTTCAGCAAAGAAGCTCCTTTATCCAGTCAAGAAGGAAATAAATGCAAGGCCGGAACTGCAGCGAACCAAGTTTGCAAGGCATCTCCAGCTCTCGTGGAAAAATGCTAGGGGGTCGAGCTTTACCGGGTGCCTCTCCCCAGTATCATGGCTGCAATTGCGGACAGCCTGCCCGCCTCAAACAAGGTGTTGTTGGATTGAAAAACCATGTGAATGCTGGTGTTCCCCTGCAATGCAAGGCGGGCATGATTCTTAACACCGAACCTTCAATGCAAGTAGTATAAGAGAGTAAGCATGCTTCTTTTTGATGCATCCTGTTTGTAAGCAACATGCACATGCACAAATCCATCCAGCTTTTCCAATCAGGTATGTCGTGTACTCACCTCAGTCACCTTCCAGTCTCGGTCCCCGCTGTTAATCCAGAGAGTATTGTTGAGGAGGACGACAGCGCCGAAGGTTCCAAAGATGCTCATTAGTGAAACGAGTTCAAGGAACCCTTGAGAAGAGTTCTCGTCTTCTCTCAGGCCACGCTGTGTCAAGGCGACCATTACAGCCAGGATAGGAAGATACGAACTGGCAAGGTTGTCCTGGTCAGGTAGCACTGCGAAGTCCTTCCCATACTCAGCAGCAAGCCTATAAAAATCGTCACAGAGATGGGGAATCTTCTCTGTTGAAAGCCCCAGGGACCGATAGTGCATCGCGTGCATGTGCACAATCCCCTGCAGAACATGCTGATTGCTGTTAGGGCTCAAAACATGGGTGCAGGAACAATGGAAGCCATTCCAACAGACGCCATCACACGCCACAAACACACACACAGGAGTAGGGAAAGAGCGAGCAGCCCACCTTCACATGAGGCTCCAGAGAGCCCCAAAAGGATGCCCCGCTCTTCAAGTTGCAGAGACATCTCCGCAAATCTGGGAGGCAATGAGGTTCACAGCTTTGCTATTATCTCCTGGAAGTAGCATCTTTACCACAGACCCGTAAAAAATTGACTCCCTGCAAGAAGACCCAAAATGTCAGGCTGTAAGTTGGCAGAGCAGGAATCGTTGACCAAATGGATATGGAGATCTCAAATGCACCCATCCTCACACAAGTAGGAAAAAGCTCTGAAGAATCCTGAGCAACGAGTGCAAAGCAGTACAAAGCAAAACAGCCATAAGAAAGCGCACGACATCCTGCAAATGTCCAAAGCACTTACTTGCAACCCAGGATGTCTGTAATCTGCTTGACCTTGAAATGGACCAAGTGCCTTTGAACCAGGGGGCTCCTGTCTAATTCAGCTTGCATCGTTCGCGCTCTGGATTCCCCATCCAGCTGGACAATTGGCCGCTCTTGCAGTTCAAAAATGGACAGCTCATCTGCCAAGGGGCAAACGGGGCACATCATAAACCTGCAACAATCACTCTTCAAAGGAGACTGCAAGCAGCTATTACAGTTACAGATAAGTCTGCAAATGAATTTGCAATCAGGACATGCACAGGAAGTCGAGTGTACAAGCACCTCACCTGGAAAGCGGGGAACAAAGCATGTGACCGGATATTTCTTAGCAGATGTTCCAGCTTCTTCATGACTTGATTCATGTACAAAATACTGAATCTCCCCTTCGTTGTTTGTGTGTGTCTCCACACGTGCTTCTTCCTTAGTAAAGTCTGCGGGAAACATCCACTTCCCAGCAAGACAAAGGGCGGCCATCTCACGAGACCGTGCTGTCTACCTTCAGCCCTTGCTTGTGATCTACTTTCAATCTATTCTGCATGTGACTCCGACGTGCGAGCCCCGTCAGGCATCACGGAACTTTGCTGAAAAAGCATGGAAGAAGCTCAATCGAGCTAGATAGTGATGAGAGTGTGCCCCGCTTTGAGTTACAGCACAAGAGGAAGAGGCAGGTTCAGAACCATCTTGCCCATTGTCTTGCAATCAAAATTAAGAGCTCTCTGGTCGCCTCGGAAACCATGTTACGAACCGTTATCAACTGCTTCCTGAACCCTAGCCCCTGGGCCTGGGCCTGAGCTCCATGACATTGATGGCTGCCAGTGCCAGTACGTGCCTCTGCAGTCTGCCAGGCAGGTCTTCATCATGTTCAAAGCTCATGGCGGGCCGTGCAGAGGGTGATCCCCCTGATCATACAATGATACATTTGGAGGTGGGTCCCGTCCCGGCGTCCGCACAGGTAGGATACGAAACAAGGGCCGCAAGAGGATCAAGCGGGAGCCCTCGGGGGGGTGACATTCCCTCCGGTTTGCTACGGTTCAGAAAGTCAGAAAGAGGGCGGGAATGCCTACCGGGTAGGTGCCTCTGCGCATTACAAAATTTTCCGTCCCGATCAGTCCCGCGATCGACCGACCCGGTGACCTGCTCGTCCCACCGTGTCAACCATTACCGTGTTGCAAACTTAGCCAAGCCTCAGGCTCGAGATGATTTATGAATCATGGTGATAACTTAGTCTTATTAAACGTTAAGGCGACTGCCGTATGTTCAGAATCTACCGTAGATGGCTGGAACGAGAGCAAGTGATCAGCACAGGAGCAATGCCCACCCGCAGTGTATGCAAAGGTTCTGTTTCAATCTGTCAGCAACTAATCTAGCTTTTCCCATCATCAAGCCCTCCGCCGCTAGAGAGGGGTCCATTATTTTAGGGCCGGTCGCTGATGCACGTTGATTGTCCTCTACGTCCAGAACAATTGGAGCTGCAGCGTTTGCTGAGTCCGTTACAATGAGATCTTTCCAAACTAGAGCAGCAACTCATACTGGGCTTATTCCTTCTTCCACCGCAATCTGGTCAGCCAACGAGGGACATGCATTCTGTGCTTTCTTTGGGAGCCAGGACAAAGGTGCCGAGCAGCTCAGGGGATTGACCGGTCTGCATAGGGGGCTTGCGGCAGAAAAGACCGCTCTCAATTCGTGGACAACTGTGATGTCCTTTAAGGGTGCTAGTACCAGAGCTTTTGGTACTTTTAGTTCCACACAGACTTCAGCCAATGATAGAGAATTCGAGGCTTTGAAAAGGCGAACAAGGGCCACTTTCTCAGCTTTGTCCCTATCTGATGGGCAGAATCGCTCAGCATTGGTAGAGCAAGATCGGACCCAACCTCAGTCCTCTGAGAAGGATGCCACCACCGAGATGGTAGTATTGAGCGATCGGCTGATGACATTGCCCAATTCTTCCTCTGGACAGAAACCTTCCACAGTTGGCCAGCCAGCACGCAAGAGAAAGAGAGTCCGGCGGAAAGACGGGATTTCAGCTCCGAAACTGAAGTCGGCTGGAGAGGAAAGCAGGCCGGTGTTGACCCTAGAAAAGGAAAAAGCGGCCGTAAAGATGTTTACGATGAAGTGAGTGGCAATCTAGCGACTTCCAGGATTGCAGGCCCAATGCTGGGCTGAATGTATGAGTCTCGCTGAGCATTGCTGGGAGCTCCCCGGTATAACTGCAAAGAACAGGCTACTTTCATCGTGGGAAATTCACCCCCAAAAGTAGAGACTTTTTGGGTTGTTGATCATCTGGTGACTGCAATGTGACGCATCGCCAGCGGTGCCCTCAGCTGACAGTCCGATGAAGCTAGACGAGTTCCTTGTCGATGTGTATCTCTTTCCACTTGCTTGAACTTATGACAATCTGGCTCTACTCTTGATCATCTCTCACTTAGAAGACCGTCCCATCGCTTGCCCAGAGGCCATCATTCCAGAGTGGAGAACTGGGTTTGACAGAAACCCATGTGCTATCTTACCTCCCAGGTTGCAAACGTCCTCTAAATGGGAATTCTTCAGGACCATCTACCCCCTTCATTAAGAACTTGGTTTCGGCGTTGACCCACTTCTAATCCCTCCCTGGCAGGTTGCAAGCGCTCGCACCAGACTCCCCTCCAGAGGCAATTCCTCCCCTGGTTAACGACTTGGGTTTCGCCCTAACCCCATACCGAGCAAACCTGGTTTTGTGTCAGCTTGAAACACGGCGGCGTTGGCAGCATGCCCTGCTTCTTGTCCGGTGGATGGAGGGGCAATTAAAACACCCCCCTGTAAAGGACACGTATGCCAAGCTGTTTGCAATCCTGGCGGCCGCAGGAGAGCACGAGAAGGTGAGCGGCCGTGCATCTCGTTTTGGGGGGGCAAGAAGAGTGCAAGACCTGATGGAAGCATGTCGAACTTGGGCATCGCAGCAAGTTTTGTGGCTTCTCACTCTCTCTATTATTCAGGAGGGGAAGGGCTATGGAAGATTCTGGAGCAGAAGGGCCTCGGTGGCAGGGATAGCCTATCGTTCCTAGAAAGACGTTTTGAATCACCAATCGGCATCAAGTCCATGTGAGCAGTAAGTGCGTTTGGTGGACATACTCCGAAGGTTGTTAGGGGCAAGCCGATGCTGTTGTCTTTAATGATCACGGTATGACAACGATTGTGGCAGACGGGAATGTGCCACGATTTGCATTAGAATAAGAGGGAGGTGTAGTCTCCTGCAAACTCAGGAGCAGATGCCATTTACATTTCTACAGAAGATTAAAGCAGGAAGGGGACAGACCAGTGCTGTGACAGTTGCAAAGTGACTTCGAACACGCAATCTTATCAGCCAAGAGTCGCTGACAACCAGAAGTCTCTAGATCCCACAATCTCTTAACCTTAAGGACTTACCCCTCAGGTCGCCGACTGCTACCGCGTCCTGAAACGCCGTTCCAACCTCAAGCCCGACCACCGGAACCTCTTGCGGATCTTCGGGCAGGGGGGCTGCCTGCAGGCCGCGCGGGAACTTCTAGACGACCTCCGGAGCCGGGGGATCCCCCTGGACGTCACCGCTTACAACCACGCGATCAACGCCGCCGCTCCAGGGGGGGCGTGTTTCGAGGCGGAGGCACTTTTGGACGAGTTGGAGAGAGACGGGTTAAAGCCTGATGGCATGACGTTTGGGGTTATGATTGAGGTTATGGGGAGGGGGGGGCGGCGGGAGGATGCGGTGGGGTACTTTGAGCGGTACCTGGGTGCGGGGTTCGAACCGACCGTCGCAACGTACAAGAATCTTCTGCAGGTGAGCGAGGGTTCTGATCCGAACCGACTTTTGAAATGCTTTCAGCTTGAGGCCAGTAGTAATTCAGAAAGTAGAACGTGTGGTTAAGATAAAAAGGTCCGACGAAGGATGCGGCAAAACTTGGTGTCAGAGACAGAGATTAGTTGCATTTGCATTCTCCTCGAAGCTGAAATCTCGTGACGTGCAGGGTTTTGGGCGAGGAAAAGGCCAGACAACGAACGTCTTTCTGTGGGCGCGAACTTGCGAAAGGCCCCTCGAGTCTCGCCCCCTGATTTCTTCCAGAGTTTCGGCGGCCAGCGAACAAAGTGCAAGTCACCCATTATGCTGACTTCAGCATAATCAGTCATATATTTCTATGTTTCTCCCGCCGGCTTGCACGGTCCAAAGACTGCTGTTGGTTGCGCAGGTGCTGTCTGTGGGCGGTCACAGGGAGCTGGCGGCGATGCACTTCTCGTTGCTGTGACTTTGCTCCTTGGCAGATGCTGACGTCACATGCCGACGTCCATCACTCCAGGTTGACGTCAGTACTTTCCACTCATCAGCGTCTCCGTTGATCTGCAGGCGTTGGTGGGGGGCGGGCAAGCGGAGCTAGCGGAGAAGCACTTTCGGGAGATGCGGGGTCGGGGCTTGGCCCCGAGCGCTGCATGCTACTCGGCCGTCGCGTGCGCCCATGCTGTGGCGGGAAACTGGCGGAAGGGCGTCGAGGTACGGTTTACGACTGCTTACGAGTGTATTGTTGGTGCACGTGGGGAGCCCTTATGAATCTACGACTACTTAAGAGTACATTTGGATGCAGCGGGGAGCCCTTATGAACCTGCGACTACTTATGAGTGTAGTTTCGGTGCATGAGGAGCCCTCATGAGCTTGAGACCTAGGGATGTTTCATTTTCAAAAAGTTTTATTTATGGGAGCGAGGCAGACAGGAAGTGACAAAGAATTCGTCAGGCAGAGCGACTGTGTGTTTACAACGCATCGCTTTGTTTGCAGCGACAGTCGACCCCTGTACTCGCTCTAACTGTCGCCGTCGTCTGGTCCTCTTGATACGTCCTCTTTGAGAGATGGCGCTGACGAGGGAAACAGGAACTCAAAACCCACGGAGTCTAGAGTAGGTACTCGCTTCTGTCCAGGTAGACCCGTCCTCGATATCACTGTCTCTCGTCGGTTCCCTTTTTATGAACCCCTTGACGTCAATTTCAATGAGGAAGACCATTTCCCTGTCTTTTCTTCAGAGACTCTGCCTTCAAAAAGAAAAGTCGGTTTGTTCCAATTTACTGGTGCTTCGCTATTGAGAAATGACGTCAGCTTGTGATTGTATTGATTCCTCGTAAGGTGATTGAGAGCATGCCGCTCAATGCGACCGGCCGGCGCCCCCTCATTGATTTCCTTCTCACGACTTTCGACAACCAATTGTTTACGAACCTCTTAACACCCGATTGCACAGAGTCTCCACCCGCCCAATCACGCGTACAGAAGTCGCTTTCCGGTAGAAAAGCGACGTTTATGGTTCTGTTTTTATTGTCAGGTGATTGAGAGCATGCCACTAAGTGCGGCCGGCCGACGCCCCCTCGTTTATCTCCTCTTCACGACCTCCGATAATCAAATCTACAAAATCCCCTCGACAACCAATCCCACAGAACCACCACCCCCCAAGAAGTGCCTTTCGGGCAGATAAGTGAGGTGTCGTTGCTTTTACTCCTTATCAGGTGATCGAAAGCATGCCGCTTAACGCGGCCGGCCGTCGCCCCCTCGTCATTAGCCTTACGGGCCTCATAGCGGCGCTCGACCGGGCGGGGCGCCTGCGTGAGGGTTTGGAGGTTTTCGAGTACATGAAGCGGGACGCGGGCTGCGTCCCGAACGCGCTGACGTATGCAGCTGTCGTCAGCGCGCTGGCGCGAGACGGGGAGATCGAGAAAGCGGAGGCGCTGATTGCGGTGAGAATTTGAAAATTGGCGCCGCGTTACTGCGTTGGTGTCTTCAGTTCTCTGCGTTGTGTTGCTTGCTCATGAAATCTGCATGGAGCGAGGGCTTTGAACTATGAGCGCTTCTGTGGGCGTGCGTGTCAAGCAACCTCGACGCAAAAGTCCGTAAGCGTTTCGTTAGCGAGCCTCTCACCCAAAACACCTGCCTTTGAAACACTAGCCAACAACCTTATTCCCACAGGAGATGCATGCCTGGGGCTGCCTCCCGAGCGTCCCCATGTGCAGCGCCCTTCTGTGCGCCTGTGCATCGCGCAATCTCCACCTTTTCGAAGGAGAGCCGGTTTCCGTAACCAGCCGCTAACTCTAAAACCATAGGACCCCTGAGACCTTGAAACCGCCGCTGTTAAAACGCTAGCTGGAAAGCTAACCCTGCAAGAATGCGCGCCCGCAGCTTTCCTACGAGCGTCCCCATGTGAGCGACCTCCTGTGCGGCTGTGCTTCG